ATATGGCCCATCCATTATTGGATAAGTAAAAGAAAAAAGAGACATTGATCCTAAATTACTAAAAATAAGAAATTCTAATGGTTTTAAATTATTAAAAAACTCAAATAAATACGCAATATTCTGAAAATATCTCAAACAATGGGATATAAATAGAAAAAGTATCATAAACGTTATTTTTTTTGGGCTAAAACCTGATTGAGTTAAATTTTTCAATCTTACTCAGATCACCGAGAGCTTTATGAAATGGGGCTTTATGAAATTTTGTTACTGTTGCCCAACAGTAGTCCTAATTGGTGTCTGATCATCGCTGTTTTCGACAGTTTTGATCTATCATATAGTCTTTTACAATACGTACTACATCATTTTCTTACAACTTTTATTGAAATTTTTTATAAAAAAAATGAAGTAAACTAATGAGTAATTTTTAAAAAATTTGGGAGCAAGTTGGAGATCAAAATTCATTGTGAATTTTGTTCATTGCACGAGACTATTGTCATTATATATAATATGTATATCTTCTATTGTGCTACCTTCACAGCTCACTACACCATCCACTTTGTGGTTGGCAACCTTTTGAATAGTTCATCATGGGCAGAGACATTATTGCTGACATAATAACTTTTATATGAAATGTTGATAATAATATGGATAGAAAAAGAGTGGTTCGAATAATATCTACTAACATTATTGAAAATCTAATTAAAAAAAAATTACGAGAAATTTTTCTCGAAAACGTGAGAAAATATCAAAAAAAATAAATATTTTTTCGTTTGTTGGTATGTTTGTTTTATGTTGTTATGGAACATCCTCAGCCCTAAATAAGGTGTGAAGACTACTGCCATAAACTACATGAATTATGCCATAATCTACTCGAGCAAGCCCAATACCTTGGCCTTTTCCAATCAAGTTTGAATTGGGATCGATGTGTATCAGTTTTAATATATTGTACGATAAAAATTCAAAGATCACATTTTACCAAGCGGAACTAATGGTTGGTTTGATTGCAAATAACCCCACTCACTTTTTTAGCCTACCTTGTATTGTTAGGAAATGACTTGAGTCTTTTTTAAGGCTTTCACTCGTACTAGCACTAGTATATGGTGTTGAAAGTCCGAATACAAAAACACTTGTTCTAACTTTTCAACTTCAGTCCGCAGNAATTGCAAATAACCCCACGCACTTTTTTAGCCTACCTTGTATTGTTAGGAAATGACTTGAGTCTTTTTTAAGGCTTTCACTCGTACTAGCACTAGTATATAGTGTTGAAAGTCCGAATACAAAAACACTTGTTCTAACTTTTCAACTTCAGTCCGCAGTTGGTCCGTTTCCCAATGACTAAACGGGTCAAAATTTGCCCCAAATGACCACATGATGGGCCATGGATAGCTAAATAGCCCAACGAGGAGGGCTATTGTTCTCTATTTTTGGTGTTTGTAATGGTTAGTTTGATTGTCGTTCTCTACTTCTAGACCTGCGGGTCATTTCTGGACCAAATGGTAACATGATGGGCCATGGATAGCTCAATAGCCCAATCATAGGACTATGGGCCATATTTTTTTGGCTAACTTAGCCTGATGGTTGGGCCAAATTAAATCCACGGAGGTGGTCCATTGGGTATTCTTAANAACGAGGAGGGCTATTGTTCTCTATTTTTGGTGTTTGTAATGGTTAGTTTGATTGTCGTTCTCTACTTCTACACCTGCGGGTCATTTCTGGACCAAATGGTAACACGGTGGGCCATGGATAGCTCAATAGCCCAATCATACGACTATGGGCCATGTTTTTGGGCTAACCTAGCCTGATGGTTGGGCCAAATTAAATCCACGGAGGTGGTCCATTGGGTATTCTTAAACTTAGCCTGATGATTTGGCTCTGTTTATTTCTCAATCTTGAGCTGCAAGTCAAAGCAATCCATAGAATGAAAATGGTAACCATCTCTCTCTCTCTCTCTCTCACANCTCAATCTTGAGCTGCAAGTCAAAGGAATCCATAGAATGAAAATGGTAACCATCTCTCTCTCTCTCTCACACACACACACACACACATTTTCATCTCTAAATTGACTAAATTTCTATGTTCAATCCACTCTTAGATATGACTTTCTTAGAAGGACTGATCGAAACCCTGGGATCTCTCTTCACCGATTCTTTTTCNCACACACACACACACACACACACATTTTCATCTCTAAATTGACTAAATTTCTATGTTCAATCCACTCTTAGATATGACTTTCTTAGAAGGACTGATCGAAACCCTGGGATCTCTCTTCACCGATTCTTTTTCTACTTCTTCGATTGAGTCCCGGGAAAACCCTAGCAATCAAGCGATGGACGGTGTGGCTACTGGGAACGAACGGACTGCGGGTAAGCTGAAAGGCTACTTCGATTTGGCCACAGAAGAGATCGCCAAGGCCGTTAGGGCCGAAGAGTGGGGTTTGGTGGATGATGCTGTTTTGCATTACCAGAAGGCCCAGCGGATATTGATAGAGGCCAATTCAACCCCTGTTCCTTCTTACATCACCTCTAGGTATGGAAATTTTCTTTAATATGTTAATTTTATATCGTTGCATTTAAACTTTAAATCGCTTTTGTAGTATAGGTTCGATTATAGTTTAGGCAGTTATTCTGGAATAGCATTGATTTGTTTATAATCTCGTGTTGGTCTGTGTTTAGTTTCCTCAATTAAAACAATGTCAGCAACCAATAGAATAGACCAAGCAATGTCATTATGGAAGGTTTCAGTCACTTCCTGTACAAGTAGGACAACGACAAGGACTTAAAAGTCGCCTAGTGTAATACTTGTTTTACCTACAATTGATATTATTGTAGTCACAACCCATCATAGTTGTCTTTCAGGAATTGGCATGACAAAAATGAAATATTTAAAAGACAGCTATTTGCAGTCAATTTTGGTTTCTGCTAAATTTTCCCAGTGGTTTTGAACTGGATTAAAGATGGGTCATTGATATATGGAATCTTACTGGTATATGAATGCAAATGGTGGTTGTACAACCTTAAGTCTTATATTGCATTCTTTTTTGCAAACCAAATGGAGCGTAAAGTAATTGTGTTGAGTTGCATAGCCATTCAACTTTGTGGGTTTTCAACAGTGAACAGGAGAAGGTGAAATCTTATCGTCAAAAGATATCAAAATGGCAGGGCCAAGTTTCGGAGAGGCTACAAACATTAACTCGGCGAGCAGGTTCCCAAATCTCCTACTAGTTTGACCTTACTGTTATAAATGACTCTTTGAATGGATAAGGATAATAGGACAATGCTTAAATTTCCTGTTGTTGCTTTTTTCAACTCTTATATCTCAGGTGGCACATCCGCAAACAAGGTATGGACTGCTTTGACTATAGTGTAAGTTTATATCTATTTTTTCCTTCTCGGAACATGATAGATATGCAGTCGAAGCAAGTTGTTGTGATCAAGTCTTTTGATGGAACAGCCTCCATTTTATTTGGTTACTTGACATGCTGGAGTAGGTTTAATATTTTCTGAGTTATAGAAGAGCTGTGAATTTGGTAGCTCCACAGTTCACAATTTCTAAACTGAATGATATGCATGACATTGTCTATACGTTAAACTAATTCAGATTCCTAAGCTGGACTATCTTTGGTCGTTTAGTTGATGGGAGTCTTAGAATTATGATGGAAATCTGTTCATCTTATCTAGCGAACATTTCTTCTGCATACCACATACTTAAATACTCGTTTGATCAAATGAGCTTTTATTTCCCCTCCACTTAGCATCCTTAGCTGAAGGTGCTCTGTTTTCTGTATACTGGGATTTTACCCACTCATTGCATTATAGAGCATGCAACTTGATGCCAATGCACTTGTGAAGATCTCATTGTCCAATGGGTTTAAGTGCTGCTACTAGCAATTGAAATTTTGTTCATCGTTAAGGTAACCTAGTGTTGTCTTGCCTTAAAGATTTATATTTTTCTTGTATAATGAGAGAAGTACATATGTACTGGCAAAAGTCGTTTGATCATATTAGACCTGGCTGTCTTAATCTGATAGCCTATGAGCAAGAATGTTCGCAAGGCATTTTTATCCTATTGTGAATGTTAGGGACATTCATAAAGTTAGTTTTTTAATTATGGCTTTCTTTGCCTCCTTTTTGCTTTACTGTGAATTTTGGTAATGTTCAGAAATCATAATGTAATGCTTTACTGTCTTTGCTTCTTCTTTCTGCCATCTTTGAGGATTAACAATTTTTTTTTAGTACCCTGTTCCTGTAATATATTTCAGTATGTTCTCCACAGAACACTTTACCTCAAGCTCAAAATGCAGCAGTTTCATCAACGCTATCCAATGCAAGAAAAGAGGTGGTACAAAAGTCCTCCCCTGGTCCCAGTAGACACAGTCCTATAGTGAAGAATCAGAATAGTAAAGTTGTAAGCTCCAAACCTGCAGAACAATCTGCTGGTGGCTATGATACAAAATTGGTTGAAATGGTAAACTCTGTTATCGTGGACAGAAGCCCTTCTGTTAAGTGGGAAGATATCGGTGAGAAACTACAACATATCCTCTTTCCTTCATAGTATGCCTCTTTTGCCTTGTCATTTTTGATTCTATTTTGCTTATCAGAGTTTCTTTGCAGCTGGCCTTGAAAAGGCCAAACAAGCTTTGCTGGAGATGGTAATCCTACCAACTAAAAGAAGAGATCTATTTACTGGTATTCGTAGGCCAGCTAGAGGTATTAGTTTTTGGAGAATTCTATGTTCAAAGGAATGGAGTTATAGTTCTAAAAGAACTTGTCACCTGAAAAGATGTGGTTTCTATTTTTCAGGTCTGCTTCTGTTTGGACCACCTGGTACCGGGAAGACCATGCTTGCCAAAGCAGTTGCTTCAGAGTCAGAGGCAACATTTTTTAATGTTTCTGCTTCTTCCCTAACATCGAAGTGGGTGTGTCTACAGAATTCCTTAAGTTTCCTTTTGTGCTTGTCCTATAGCGGTTTTTATATGATATTTACCAGTGATGGTTGGACTTCTTACACATTTCTTTTGAAATGAAAGGTAGGAGAAGGTGAAAAGCTTGTCCGGACTCTTTTCATGGTTGCTATTTCGAGGCAGCCATCTGTAATATTCATTGATGAGGTACATCACTATACTGGCAAATATAATTGTGAGGTTCAATTCTATCATCCCCATTACTCTTGTTCCATATGTTGGTGGGTTCTGCTACCAAATGCGCCATTACTTGCCTGTTCAAATTTTTAGGTAGCATTTGGTAATGTTTTCATTTTTGTGTTCTTTTTTATAAAAAAAATTAAACTAAATTTTGCTTTTTTTGTGATAAAAATTAAAAATATAAAACATGTTTGGTAGTGATTTATATTTAGAAAATTATAAACCAAAAATAAAAATTTTCTTTGGTATTATACCAAAATTTCACCATCCAAACCCCACCATCCAACCGTACTGACCACCCAAAACCACCACCGAAACCCACCCCCAACCCCACCATCGAAACCCACAATTCACCCCCACCACTGAAACCCACCACCACAACCACCGAAACCCACCCCCACCACCACCGAAATCCCACCACTGAAACCCATCATCACAACCACCTAAATCCACCACCACAACCACCAATATTCACCATTAACAGCCACCACAACCACCGAAACCCACCCCACCGAAATCCCACCACTTAAACCTATCATCACAACCACCTAAATCCACCACCACAACTACCAAAATCTACCAGACTATATATGCATATATATAGATAGATCTATGTATATATATGCATATGCATAGATCTATGTATATAACAAACACAAACTTAAAAAAAAAAAAAATTTCAGAGGGGTTAGAGAGAGAGAGAGAAAGAGAAAGAGATCAATAGAGATGGAGATGGAGATGGAAAGACTGGAGCTTCCTTTGCCGTAGCTTTCCTTCNAAAAATTTCAGAGGGGTTAGAGAGAGAAAGAGAAAGAGATCAATAGAGATAGAGATGGAGATGGAGATGGAAAGACTGGAGCTTCCTTTGCCGTAGCTTTCCTTCGCTGGAGCTTCGCAAGAGAGAGACGACTGAATGAGGGAAGCACAGGAGACAGACAATAAGAGAAGCAAAAAAAGGTTAAAAAAATGTCCTTTTATACTTGGAACAATAAGAATATCTTTTGTACTGTTAATGGGGTTCGAAGACAAGACTTCATTAATTGAGGCTTGAGGGACGCGTGTGTTTTCATTTTTGCCTTGTTTTTGAAAGCATCTAAATAGGTGTTTTAAAAAACAAGGGTTGTTTACAAAACAGACTGACAAAAAAATAAAATAAAAACACACTCCAAATATGTTTGTTTGTAAAAATTAAAAAAAAACAAAAAAAAAACGGAAACAGCTGGTTACCAAACGCAGCCTTTATCTAGGTTGTTTTAATTATTTTATCATGCAGTTAATATTGTCAGACCCCCTGAGCTGAATGTCACCACTTATATTGTTTATCCTCCTTTCATTTTTACCCTTTTGTTCTTCTTTTAATTGGTTGATTGTATTGAGGATTTTCTTTGGGTATGGTTTGCATATTTTAAAACCATGCTTCCTGTTCTGATTCTACCGGATTTTGGATTATTTATTTGAGCTTTACTGGTGAAGCTTGCCTTTGTTGAGAATGGAGCCTAGAAAATAAACTAGAAATCCCTATGTCCAATGTGAAGACCAAAGATGAACATCATTGTAATGCATTAATGCTAAATTGAGGAAGAAAGTAAGTATTTTTGGTTTAAGAATGTCCATCAAAGATGTATCTTGCCCTTGTACTAGGATTTTGGATAAGAATTCTGCTGATACCTAGAGTTTTGTGGCGGTGTTTTATTCATGACTTTGGTGATGCATTTTGCGATGGTTAATGGGTGGCAATTTATAACATCTGTATGGTAGAGCACATGCCCTTAAATTGCTATTTGCAGCATTAAGATGCTAGCTTCAAATTTAGAGCTTTCTTTTCATGATGAAGCAATTAGATAATGTTGTGAAATGGGAAAACAAAATAAGACTTTTCTCTGGAAAATGCTGAAGGGGTTACCAATAGCCGTCAGCTTGGAGGCATGGTTGTGACATGGGTGAGCGTATATCATCTATCAAGTGTGTTAACCGTGCAAAATTAGATTGTTTCATGCCTATAGTAGGAATTAGCAGTGGCAAATGAACGGGTTGGGCAGGTTTGGGCGGGTCAATAAAGGACTGGGTGTAATGCAATTAAAACTCATTTTCAACCAGATTAATTAATGGGCTACAGTTCGTTGGGTTGCAACGGATTGAGTTAAACCTGTTAACCCGTAGATAAATAATCTAAAAGCTTTAACCAACCATGTTCAAGCTTATAGGTTTGAAAATTGCCCATGAAAGTGATTATATACAGATCTACCTAGATGGTCTCTCTCCTGCTTCTGCAGTTGTGCAGGGGCATGATACATATGATGCTACTTCATTTCGACCATTCCAGTTTAACATCTTACCCTGTTTCGTCAGCCTTGTCAATTGAATCATCTGCAAGGGTTATGTGAAGTGAAGGAAAATATTTTTCATCTTATGTTCAGTTTACTTTAGTGTTTTGGCTCCCAGCAGCATCATCATTTTCATTTCTTGATCCTGTCGCTTTCTGCAATTGTTATCTTACACTTTGTTGTTTGTTTGTTTCTACTTGCTTTTGCTATTATCACTGCAGTGCTACTGCTGAATTTGATACTACTTAACTTCCACTATCATGGGAGATTTACTATTAGTCACATGGTTAGCTTCTTTTCCGGAAGACTAATATTGTTTTTAATCATTTTTAAAAGGTTGTTTTTTTTTGTGGTTAACAGATTGACAGTATTATGTCAACAAGGACATCTGGCGAGAATGATTCAAGCAGAAGACTGAAATCAGAGTTTCTGGTGCAGTTTGATGGAGTGACGTCAAACTCTGATGATCTAGTCATTGTCATCGGTAAGCTTCATTTATTATCTTAGTAAAGCCTTGGTTCAGCTATTTTTGGTCAGTTCATGAACTCTCTCTCTTTATGTCTTTTCCTCAAAATGTGGACCCGAAATTCCTTGGTATTTACCTTATCCTACAGCTCTGCAACACGAATCATATCAATCTGTGCCTGTGTGAAGAAAATGAGGTGACAATCCCACACTGAAAATATAGGGGAAGAGAGGAATACTATATGGCCTCTGTTTTTTTTTTTTGGACTTTAATTCATTCACCGCATGGCAGTGATAGCCCTCCTTGTTAGAGCCAGCCAGTATTTGATCCTAGATCAAGTGGGCAAGGACTTTAAACAATATGACCTACAATGATTTAGATCTAGGATCAGGTTTTACCAGATGATTGGCTTATTATGTAGTTTTTTTCCTTCAAGTCCTGAATGAGTAGGGATAAAGCTGAAAAGAAAACTTGTAATCTCGCAAACTATTCAAAATGGGTATGACAAAGTTTTAAACTGATGGTGAGGGTTCCTGTAGTCTCTCAAGATGGCACTAAGAAGCACGTGAAGTGTANCAAGTCCTGAATGAGTAGGGATAAAGCTGAAAAGAAAACTTGTAATCTCGCAAACTATTCAAAATGGGTAAGACAAAGTTTTAAACTGATGGTGAGGGTTCCTGTAGTCTCTCAAGATGGCACTAAGAAGCACGTGAAGTGTAATATTATAATTGTTTGCTTGGTTGGTTATGTAAATTTCCTGTTTTATGTCGACTTGATACCGATGCTTATGCTAATGCAGGTGCAACTAATAAGCCACAAGAATTGGATGATGCAGTTCTTAGGAGATTGGTCAGTATATTGGTGCAATAATTTACTGTGACTTAGTGACACCATGACTTAAAAGTGTTATTACTGATATGAATTATGTGTAGACTGTATTCTTGTGAGTGTTATTTATCAGACCTAAACAATGTTTTACTCGGAAGAAAATTTTGATGATAAAACATGGACCATTGGAATTACATGAATTACTGCTCTAATTTACCAAGTCTTGCATCCGTGCTTGTTAATGCAGAAGATATGCTACTTTTGGATGATCCCTAGATTCAGATGGAACATAAGAAAAGATAATTCTGCAAAACAATGTGAATTATGGTGATAATATTTTCATACTTTTTTGGATGGATACTCTGATATATAATTGATATGTTGAACTTTTACTCTCAAGTTGATTTTCAATCATCTTGTGGTGTGGTCTAACACAAATCATGAACAGGTGAAAAGAATTTACATCCCTTTACCGGATGCGCATGTTAGAAGACTTCTTCTAAAACACAAACTCAAGGGCCAAGCGTTTTCCTTGCCTGGTAAAGATGCTCATATCCTGTTACACATATTGCATACATTTCTTATCAATTTAAAGACTACCATGTTGGCAATTGCTAACTTAGTTTGTATCATAAGAAGCTGGTGCATCATGTGGCTATCCTTGTTCTTTCATTTTCACAAGCACCTACTTGCATTAAACACTTAAAAAGAGAAAAGGCTGGATTTTTCAAATTGATTTCAACCTTAATGGACCCTACCATTAGATATAGAGCGAAAATACCAATTTGTGTGATTAAGGGTTGCAATCTTCAATAGAATGCTATTGTAAACCATGAAATATGTGGGCCATTACTGGTTGGGTGTGCGTCTTCAAGTACAGTAATAATCATGGACAAATTCATTGAAGTAATGGTTATGTCTTTTTTCCTTGCAACAGGTGGAGATCTAGAGAGGCTTGCTGAAGAAACAGATGGTAATATAATTTTCTGTATTATAGCTTTTGTGGATGAATGCTACCAGGATGAATTGTTACATGAGATGTTCATTTGGCTAATTATCTTTGCCCAAAACATTGTCATGTGTCTTATATTTATAGTCCATGTGTGCAATGGTTGCACACTAGCAGTCGTTTTACTTATGCCACTTGGCAGACATGACATAGTAGACTCTACTGAACCTTGATTCCCGCTCATTAACTCTTCTTTTTTATGTCGTTTTTGAAAGAATTGAACCTTATCAACACTGCTGGGAAAATATTTTGTGTTTATCTAATTAGAAACTCATTGTTTGGTTGCTCTTGTAGGGTATTCTGGCAGCGACCTACAAGCATTGTGTGAGGAAGCTGCAATGATGCCAATCAGAGAGCTCGGTGCAAACATTCTGACTGTCAATGCCAACCAGGTAGTCTTGCTTGATATTTTTTNGTCTCTCTCTCTCTCGCTTAATAGAGAGGTAAGATTTTTATCTATACTTCAAACTCTTCTTCAATGTATGATGGAAACATCAACCATAATATATGTTCCACTTGAACGGTCTGGTATGCCAAATTCCTAACTACATTCTACATTTTAATCATATTCAAGTCGGTGTCTAAATATTCCTTAAAACGGATTTTATCAAAAGGCTTAATTTTGAATAATTTCNGAAGCACGTGAAGTGTAATATTATAATTGTTTGCTTGGTTGGATATGTAAATTTCCTGTTTTATGTCGACTTGATACCGATGCTTATGCTAATGCAGGTGCAACTAATAAGCCACAAGAATTGGATGATGCAGTTCTTAGGAGATTGGTCAGTATATTGGTGCAATAATTTACTGTGACTTAGTGACACCATGACTTAAAAGTGTTATTACTGATATGAATTATGTGTAGACTGTATTCTTGTGAGTGTTATTTATCAGACCTAAACAATGTTTTACTCGGAAGAAAATTTTGATGATAAAACATGGACCATTGGAATTACATGAATTACTGCTCTAATTTGCCAAGTCTTGCATCCGTGCTTGTTAATGCATAAGATATGCTACTTTTGGATGATCCCTAGATTCAGATGGAACATAAGAAAAGATAATTCTGCAAAACAATGTGAATTATGGTGATAATATTTTCATACTTTTTTGGATGGATACTCTGATATATAATTGATATGTTGAACTTTTACTCTCAAGTTGATTTTCAATCATCTTGTGGTGTGGTCTAACACAAATCATGAACAGGTGAAAAGAATTTACATCCCTTTACCGGATGCGCATGTTAGAAGACTTCTTCTAAAACACAAACTCAAGGGCCAAGCGTTTTCCTTGCCTGGTAAAGATGCTCATATCCTGTTACACATATTGCATACATTTCTTATCAATTTAAAGACTACCATGTTGGCAATTGCTAACTTAGTTTGTATCATAAGAAGCTGGTGCATCATGTGGCTATCCTTGTTCTTTCATTTTCACAAGCACCTACTTGCATTAAACACTTAAAAAGAGAAAAGGCTGGATTTTTCAAATTGATTTCAACCTTAATGGACCCTACCATTAGATATAGAGCGAAAATACCAATTTGTGTGATTAAGGGTTGCAATCTTCAATAGAATGCTATTGTAAACCATGAAATATGTGGGCCATTACTGGTTGGGTGTGCGTCTTCAAGTACAGTAATAATCATGGACAAATTCATTGAAGTAATGGTTATGTCTTTTTTCCTTGCAACAGGTGGAGATCTAGAGAGGCTTGCTGAAGAAACAGATGGTAATATAATTTTCTGTATTATAGCTTTTGTGGATGAATGCTACCAGGATGAATTGTTACATGAGATGTTCATTTGGCTAATTATCTTTGCCCAAAACATTGTCATGTGTCTTATATTTATAGTCCATGTGTGCAATGGTTGCACACTAGCAGTCGTTTTACTTATGCCACTTGGCAGACATGACATAGTAGACTCTACTGAACCTTGATTCCCGCTCATTAACTCTTCTTTTTTATGTCGTTTTTGAAAGAATTGAACCTTATCAACACTGCTGGGAAAATATTTTGTGTTTATCTAATTAGAAACTCATTGTTTGGTTGCTCTTGTAGGGTATTCTGGCAGCGACCTACAAGCATTGTGTGAGGAAGCTGCAATGATGCCAATCAGAGAGCTCGGTGCAAACATTCTGACTGTCAATGCCAACCAGGTAGTCTTGCTTGATATTTTTTTTCCTACTGAAGGTCCTGATTGATCACCGCTATTTTACCTTTAGTTTCCTGGGAAGTGATTTTAAATTTTTGTTCAGCATCTGATAGGTAAGTATACTAATAGATGCCCCTGAACTATGTGCAGGTTTGTTGATCAAAAAAAAAAAAAACTAATGTCCAGGTTTTAAAATGCCACTCAAGCTCCAATTGTCTCAATTTAGTCCTTAAACTGTGCCAATCATAGCAATCAGTCTCTACGTTCCAATTTTTTGTTGAACCAAACAGAAAATTTCATGTTACTTATTTCTATTTGCCCTCTAAACTTCCATTTGGCTGGTTTTTCCGTTTGTTTTCACAGCAACATTGGACAGGAGGGACACTAAGCTATATGATTTAGGCAGTTCAGGGATTAATTTGAGAGTGCTTGAAATTGATAGGCCAAATAAGAACTCGTGTCAAAGTTCAAGGAACATTCGTAATTTCATACCAGACTCGATTTTATTCAAGGGTTTATGAATATCAGGATCTTTAATTGGGCCAAAACCTATGTCGCCCAGAGGTTGACCCTGCATGAATCAGGGATTTTCTTTCTAATTCTTCAAGCATTAGATGAATTAGGATTATGAATATGACGGAGTGATTGTCATTTATCTGGGGTTCACTAGCATTATCTGTCTTGATTTAATCAGGTTTCGCCTTTTAATCTTTGGAATCCATGTTATGTGTTGTTGTCTGTGTGTTAGCAGGTAAGGNGCAGGGATTTTCTTTCTAATTCTTCAAGCATTAGATGAATTAGGATTAATTCTCGAGTTTCTCTTCACTATATGAATATGACTGAGTGATTGTCATTTATCTGGGGTTCACTAGCATTATCTGTCTTGATTTAATCAGGTTTCGCCTTTTAATCTTTGGAATCCATGTTATGTGTTGTTGTCTGTGTGTTAGCAGGTAAGGAAATTAAGATACTGTGATTTTCAGAAGGCAATGACTGTTATTAGACCCAGTGTACAAAAAAGCAAGTGGCAAGAGGTCGAACAGTGGAACCAGGAGTTTGGCTCTAATTGAAAGTCTCAAACATGCACTGAGTGGTTATATGATCCAGATTAAAGACACAACCTACAGTAGAGAGTGGAAGTTGGAAGATGAGAAAAGAGAGCAGATAATGTTGCTTCTCACCGTTGTTATTAATCAGAACGATAACAATGCACCACGTAGGAAATCATGTACAAAACTATTTAAAATATGTATATCAAATCAAATAAATTTGTATAAGATATTGTAAGTTAGAGACAGTGACATTGAAGAGTGGTCTCAAGATCAGTCTCTCGGTTAATAATATCCCCCACCCTATCAAGATCACTCTCTCTCTCTCTCGCTTAATAGAGATGTAAGATTTTTATCTATACTTCAAACTCTTCTTCAATGTATGATAGAAAAATCAACCATAATATATGTTCCACTTGAACGGTCTGGTATGCCAAATTCCTAACTACATTTTAATCATATTCAAGTCAGTGTCTAAATATTCCTTAAAACGGATTTTATCAAAAGGCTTAATTTTGAATAATTTCTCTCCATTTTAAAACCAAACTTTTCCTTACAAGCTATTTGGTGTAAAATATTGACCCACGTAGTTTGGTGTAAAATATTAACAAACAACAAAATTTTAATAGCTGGTATAAACTAATTTTATCTTTAATAACAATTAAAAAAAATGGAAGAATGGTCATTATACAATGAGAAGGATGGATAACAATTAAAAAACACAAAAGTGGTCCCGCATGCCATTGGAATCACTGTGACGAACATGCACCTTACCATGGTTGTCCGTCGTAATCTCATGTCTGGACCGCTCAGGTTGTTCAATAACAGGCTGAACCGGAGTCGCTACCACTCGTTTCGGTCTCCAACTCCAACCCATATCATCAGCCGGTTTCTGTCCCCAGGATTTGAAATCCAGAAACTTCCCTCCTAACCTCTCTCTCTCTCTCACACACACACACACACACTCTCTCTTCCGATCTTCAACTGTGGCTCCGAACCAATTCCCAGCAAATGCCTTCCCAAACTGACAAGAAGCCCCAAAAACAATGGTCCTTGTAAGACTTCGAGATCGGAAAACCCCTCGGCAAGGCAAATTCGGCCGCGTCTACCTCGCCCGAGAAACCAAGGTACACACACTTTTCTACAATATGTATGAAGAGAGAGAGAGAGAGAGAACACAGATTTTTGAGAGGAATTTGATTTCCATTGCCGTGGAATTGAAAATTTTGGTTTCCTGTTACAGAGCAAGTATATAGTGGCATTGAAGGTNACACAGATTTTTGAGAGGAATTTGATTTCCATTGCCGTGGAATTGAAAATTTTGGTTTCCTGTTGCAGAGCAAGTATATAGTGGCATTGAAGGTGATATTCAAAGAGCAGATAGATAAGTACCGGTTGCACCACCAGTTGAGGAGAGAGATGGAGATCCAGACCAGTCTTCGTCATCCCAATGTTTTGAGACTCTTCGGTTGGTTTCACGATTCGGAGAGAATTTACCTGATTTTGGAGTATGCCCATGGTGGTGAGCTCTATAAGGAGCTCCGAATAACCGGCAATCTCACCGAAAAACAAGCCGCCACTGTAATCAACTCTCTCTCTCTCTCTCTCAAAAATTCACATGTGTGCGTCTGATATAATATACTTCGGTATTAGGGTTTTCAGTCAACAATGTAGTCAATTTCAATTGAATTATGATAGGGTTTTATGCCTTGTTTGTATTCAGGGGGTTTCAGGTATTTTGTCTTCGTTGATTTCTTTTATATATTTGTTACTTTGTTTTGAAATTTTAGTGGTTTTTGAAGTTTGATTTATACTTTTCTGTGTTATCAGTACATTTCGAGTCTTACACAAGCGTTGGCGTATTGTCATGAGAAGCATGTGATTCATAGGGATGTCAAGCCGGAGAACTTGTTGCTTGATCACGAGGTAATGCTCCTGAAACCCTTATAATGGCTTTCAATTTGTTGAAGCAGCTGTATTTTCTACTTATTTGTTGGGTTTTCTTCCCGATTATGTGGAGAGACGAGAACTGCACATTGACGTTTAGATGATTTATCTGATATGGCCCGAAACTGAATTTAGTGAACAAGAATAGTCCTAAGACTTCTAATCAATTGTATTGTTGAGTGATTCATTTGGTTAAGATTAGTTTAGAAAGCTGAAACCAGAAATCGTTACATGGGTCACAAGGATGGGGATTTTGCTCCTTCATTTTCATGAACTGACCTATGACTCATGAGATTTGTTTAGGTCACTTAAAATTAAAACCATGAGATTTGTTTACTTCATGTTGTAACATCCGATAAGTGTGTGATGAAGCATGATTTCAGCAATATGCACACAATTGAGTTGGTGAAAATTAATGTTTCTTTCAGCAATCTGCCTAACAAGATTATAGTTTTGACAATATAAGCTTTTCAGCCTTTTGGTTGAAATAGCTGAAACCTTGACATTCCACACTAGTTATCAAACCAATTACTAGTCTAAAAATTCAGAACATGCCATAAAATTCGGGTTCCACATTTAAGTAAAATTACTGTGGTTACAATTGTAGGGTCGACTGAAGATTGCTGATTTTGGATGGTCTGTACAATCAAGAGGCAAGAGACACACTATGTGTGGAACTTTGGACTATTTAGCACCAGAAATGGTGGAGAACAAAGCTCATGACTGTGCGGTTGATAATTGGACTTTGGGTATCCTTTGTTACGAGTTTTTGTATGGTGTCCCTCCATTTGAGGCAGAGAGCCAATCAGATACATTCAGAAGGTGAGGAATGGATAATTTGTTGCTTCACCTGGTGTTTGTAAATCATTAATTTGAACCGTAACAGTTGTAGATCATGAATTTAAATTGAATTGCACATAGGATTATGAAGGTTGACCTCAGCTTCCCTTCCACCCCTTCTGTGTCTGCAGAAGCTAAAGATCTCATTAGCCGGGTAAGTTGGCTAGTGAGTATGTCCACAATTTCATGTTTAGCAGCAAAAGGATATAATTGCATTGGTAAAAATGTCGCCTTAAATTTGTGCAGCTTCTAGTGAAGGACTCCTCAAAAAGGCTCTCTCTTCAAAAGATTATGGAGCACCCTTGGATAATTAAGANGTTAGGCGTTGGAAGCTGTTTTTGAAGAAGAAGAAGCATGCCAAGAGTGAAAGAGGCATCGTCTCCTTGTGATATTTCATAGACGCTTATAGCAGTTGCTTAAGAGACAAAAACACAAATAGGAGATATAGAGAGAGACGAGTTTTTTATTTTGGGGTGGATCTCTTCTAGCAAAATGACATTGTTTTACTAGAATAGGGTTCAAAAATAATAATAAAATGAATCATACAATTCCTTCGATTCGAATCATACAATTCAAGTGTGATTCTCAGCCAAAATCGATTCTATAGTAAGATATGAATCGAATAAGTTCTAAATCGAATAAAATCATACAAACCGAATCGCGAATCGTACGATTTGGATAATAATGACTGCAATACAAATTCAATCTTGGTAGTTGTATTCAATTGTTAGATTCATCTGGCAGATGGTGAACTCACCAACTAAAGCTGATTACCAAAACAGATTTCCTTCTTATGAAATAAAATGCAATACACAATGCACATCAAACCCAAGAAGCAAGTTGACTTAGAATATTGTTGTAATTGCACTTTTGAACCGTAGAGAAGATTACATCAAGCCCATAAACCCAATTTCTGCTCTACAAATGGTTGACATTTTAGTCCTTATCAGAATGCTAAAACTAAGCTCCAGCAGAGGCATTAATGAGAATAACTAAAGTGCACATCAATTCGTGGGAAACAACGTCACAGAAGAAAAATAAAACCATAACGGCTAGATGGATGTGTTTGTTACAAACACATCTCTGTTTCTTCATCAAGCTTATTGTGCGTGTGGTACAAAATTAGAGATTTGTAAATGAAATAGCAAAATTAAATACATCTATTGCATGTGCGTGGGTGTGAGGCAGTGTGTGTGTGTGCATGTGCTGTGCTGCATGTGTGTGTTCAGCTGTGCGGGTGTGTTGTGTGTGTTCGGCATTTGGTCGAACACATTCTATGCATGTGTGCTGTGTGTTGTGCTTGTGGTATGAGCAGCGGAGAGAAAGAAAGAGGCAGAAACAGAGGGACACGTGTACCTTGTTTTGCTGTGTGTGTTGTGCGTATGGAATGAGCAGCGGAGAGAGAGAGAAACAGAGAGAGAGGGGCAGCGAGAGAGAGTAAGCAACAGCTGGGCATGAACATGGAAGGGCTGAATGAATTAAGCAGAGGCCTGCGCTATGTGTGTATGTAGGCGTGAATATGAAAGGAGTAAATAAATTAAAGCACGCATAATTTGGGAAGATGTCTTATTTTTGTAGGAGATTTGCCTCAGAATTTAAGTGTGAATATGGAGGTCATAGAGAAAGAGGTGTTAGCCGTGAATGGAATGTGTAGACGGAACAGCATTAATTTGATAATTATAAATGGAAAGTCTATTGGACAGGAGAATTTGAAATGTCAAATTAATATTTTTCAGTTGATATGAGCCACAAAAAGTTCAAAATAACATAGATCTTTAGATTTAACTTATTTTTAAGTCAAAGTGATATGGACCGCAAAAAACTTGAGATAAGTTTTGAAATTCAAATTTATTACTACTTTATTATATAGATGAGGATGTATATATCTATATAATAAATTAGCTCACAATTTAAATTTTTATCTTATACATAAATCAGCTAACAAATTGAACTTTTATTCCTTATACATTTTATCCCCAAAACATATCACATTACTCAATTTTATCACACATGTTCAATCATTTATTCATAAAAGATAATATACACATGTTGCAAAAAATTTTGTCAAATTATGCATTTTGAGAAAATTTTAATGTTATTTTTTAAAAAATAATAGGTAAAAATTAATTTTAAATAATGTAAACAAAAAAATTAATTTTAAATTTGATATAGTGAAATCAATTTTTTGAACGCTTAAATCTTGATGGCGTTAACGCACTTTTACAAAATATGAACCAGGATTACGTTAGGTTACTAAGATGATGTCATAATATTCAGGGCTTTGGAAGTTAAGACAACATAATTATAGTGGTTCACCAGCTTGGGAGCTCAGCTAGTCTACTCTAGAATGGAGGCTGTTGCTCTTTTTTTATTTATTCACAGTGATTATAAAGTTACTATGACTTCTTTTTGCCACTCGGGTCTCCCCTCTGTTAAGGGGTGTTACCTTGCATTTATAAGGTCATTCCCTACTAANCTTGGGAGCTCAGCTAGTCTACTCTAGAATGGAGGCTGTTGCTCTTTTTTTATTTATTCAC